ACCACTAATTTACGCAGAAAGAAGTTCTGCCACTCTTCTCCGGCAACACAGAAAGGAGAATTCTGCGTAGTAAGCGCGCCGAAGGCCGCCTACGCAGGAAGAAGTTCTGCCACTCTTCTCCGGCAACACAGAAAGGAGAATTCTGCGTAGTAAGCGCGCCGAAGGCCGCCTACGCAGGAAGAAGTTCTGCCACTCTTCTCCGGTAAAACAGAAAGGAGAATTCTGAGTAGTAAGGGTTATGATCCCTAAGCGCGGCCGAAGGCCGCCTACGTAGAAAAAAGTTGTGTCAGTTCTTTAATTGTAAGAAACTTTCTTCGGTATTTTTCATTTATTGTTATTGGCATCATTAACTAAATCTTCTGCCTTATCCTGAGTTTCGGCCGAAAAAATTTCACCCGAAAATTTGTATTCCGCCCATAATAAATACATGGAAACCAAACGTGAAAAGTGAACCGGTTCGGGGAAAATGAAACTCATGATAAGGCCTCTTCTCTAAAAGTATANTCTAACAGAGTCACAAAACTTAGCTCATCACTGTTGTGATTTCAAGTGCGCCGAGAAATGTGTCACAAAAAATTCGATTTTGAGTGCTAGAAAAATACACAAAAATTTTAAAAATTGAATTGAAGCGGCATATTTTTTGAGCGGCAAGGTTTGAGGCGCGGTAGAAATCACAGCAGTGATGTGCTGAAGTTTGTGACTTTGTTAGAATACGGCTGNAACACCAAGCACCTCCATGTTTTTATTACACCTAACTGCAACTAGCAGAATAAATGCGACGCCAATATTTTGTACATTGTCTTCGCAATAATATTTAATTAAATCAATAAGTTTCGGGGCACGATTACGATAACCGCGGGGGCCAAATTTTGAACAAGGACGTCGATAGAGGTTTTTGAAGCAAGAATAACGGTATATTTTTTTTTGCTGGGAAACAAAAACTACAGAAGTTATCAAGGGTCAAAGATTAAATTCATAATTTTTTGAAATCCAAATATCTTGAAAACAAAAGCACGGATTTCAAAATTTGTGATATCATTCAATAGGAATTATGAATGCCTTTAATACGATATACAAATGTTATATACAGCTTATCATGTTTAGCAAAAATTTAATTTAACTAAAAAAAGTTACAAAAAATTTTAAACAATCACAGGATTATTTAAAAATTGCCTCATTAAACATATTCAAACATTTCATAATCCAATAGGATATAAAACAAGCTTTCATTTGATATACAACATCATGTCTTCAGTCCGTACTATACAGAGTTTAAAACAAAAAAAAACGTAGGCGGCTCAACTTTAGCTGAATGAAACGGTTTTTTGCGAATAACTTGGACGGTTTAAAAAAATCATTTTCCGCCTTCGGATTTTTAATACTGGCAATAATACGCGTCGTTTGATACCCCTTTCGATTATTTTGCATCAATTTTCAGTGGGACCATTTTGGAATAATAATAAGGTGTTGTCAGTAGCGATGTTTGTTGTAATTTTGACAAAATCGGTACGGTTATTTCCAATGATGCCTACTCATATATTTATACCACAAAAATTAAGTAAAATAGTACTAGAACTACTCCTATTGTATGTTAAATTAGCATTTCAGCTGTGCTCAAACATAATGACATCTCTTTCTGTTTTGTACTGTTAAGCATATGTATGTAAAAGATAATGGCGCGTATTCATAGTCCAGCAACTAAGTCGAAACTAACAAAGTTGCAACCTAAATTTAAGTACCAACTTAAAATATACCTCTATTCATAGCCGCATTTCAGACTTCTACTAAGTAGTTTCGACTTAGTTTACGATATAGCAAAACGAGTGTGAAAATGTATCGATTTTTCTTTACGATATTTTGGAAAAATTACATTTTTATTAAATAATGTCAAGTTTGATCATCCGTTTATGTAATTTTTATTTTCATTGCATGATTATGCAAAAGAATAAGGTATCATTTTCTTGTTAATTGTGTGAAATAGCCAGAACAACCGCAGTAATGTGAAGTCGATGTTTATCGAAAGCATGCTGTGAAACATACAAATAGTAGATATCTAAATGTTATGCACAAATTTACTTTAAAAGAACTAGCGTGAAACTGACTTATTATTTGAGAATTTATCTAAATTATTCCAATTATAAAATTGTGATGTAGCTTTATTCGAATTGTAATACGCATTTAATTTCATCTTCCGATTAAAATGGATCGATCTTTGTAAATTTTAATTGGAGATTATTCAATATTATCAAAATCACCCTCTACCAACTTAATTTTTACATATTTCGTCTGTTTTCCCTTAATTTGATAAAATACTTCTTCCTAGTTACGACTTAGTTGCAGCTGCAGCCGAAACTAAATTTTAAGTTGGTACTTAGCCAGAAAAGTCGAAACTAAGGCGACTATGAATAGCTTTAGTTGTGACTTAGAATAGTTTCGACTTAGTTGAGTACTAAATATGACTATGAATATGCGCCAATGTATAATGCATATATTTAAATACACACACACATCATGTACACTTTGATTTACATAGGAATACAGCCTGACAGTCCTCATAAAATTCTATATCGCGTCATGTCGTAGAAAAAGTGAAAATATTTGAAGTTGTACAGCACAGCAGAAAAGACGGAGATATACACAAAATTTTAAAAGTATAGCGTATTATTCGCATAACTACAAAAATTGTGTTTTATTAAAAACTGCTATCGCACGCAACAGCTTCTCTTCATGATATCGCTCTAAAAGAAAGCGTTTGCATCACTGCTTCTTTTACCTCTTCTCCATTATGCATTTTCGTGTTGCAAATCTGAAACTCTGAGTTATAAATTATAAAATTGCGGTGTTTTCAATGAAATAAATCATTTTACGTTTAGTAAGCAGTTTTAAAAACTAGTTAAGTTTAGTAATGCTAATACTAGCTGTTGTGCAAGTAAAGTTTACGCGTCGACTAAAGTTTGGTATACAGAATTGGCTAGTTGAAAATTTGCAAAATAAAAAAGCTTTCGAACACTGCATTTGATCCAGTGAAACGTATTTTTAAGCAATTGGATACAATGCATTTAAGTGCCCAGTGCATTTGCATAACAACCCACCACATTCAACTTTGTTTTTGGTACCTTATCCAGCCAGGTATACATAACTTTTATTTGCAAGTAAGGAAAACCTAATGGCGCATATTCAGTCATATTTAGTACTCAACTAAGTCGAAACTATTCTAAGTCACAACTAAAGCTATTCATAGTCGCCTTAGTTTCGACTTTTCTGGCTAAGTACCAACTTAAAATTTAGTTTCGGCTGCAGCTGCAACTAAGTCGTAACTAGGAAGAAGTATTTTATCAAATTAAGGGAAAACAGACGAAATATGTAAAAATTAAGTTGGTAGAGGGTGGTTTTGATAATATTGAATAATCTCCAATTAAAATATACAAAGATCCATCCATTTTAATCGGAAGATGAAATTAAATGCGTATCATGAACGAAAGACACAAGATCACGTAAGAACAAGAGGGTGAAAAAAGTCGATTTTTTTAGCGGGTTCTACGCCATCTTGTTTCACTGGAAAACGAGCGAAAAGTAAACAAAGCAAAGAAAACAACGAAAACCAAAGTTAGCCAAAACTATTGTCCGCCACTTTAAACGCACAATTTAGGTAAAATGATGCAACAAAATGCTTTCAAATGTGTTGTCATATTGAATTAACTCTTCTTTATTTGAATAAAAGTGTAAAATAGTGGTGCTTGTGATGTAAACAAACGCTCAGCTGACGAACCCGCTTTCGCAAACTTTTTTCTCAAAACCAGTTACAAATACAACGTCGCGTTCTTACGTGATCTTGTATTTTTGGTTCATGAATGCGTATTACAATTCGAATAAAGCTACATCACAATTTTATAATTGGAATAATTTAGACAAATTCTCAAATAATAAGTCAGTTTCACGCTAGTTCTTTTGAAGTAAATTTGTGCATAACATTTAGATATCTACTATTTGTATGTTTCACAGCATGCTTTCGAAAAACATCGACTTCACATCACTGCGGTTGTTCTGGCTATTTCACACAATTAACAAGAAAATGATACCTTATTCTTTTGCATAATCATGCAATGAAAATAAAAATTACATAAACGAATGATCAAACTTGACATTATTTAATAAAAATGTAATTTTTCCAAAATATCGTAAAGAAAAATCGATATATTTTCACACTCGTTTTGCTATATCGTAAACTAAGTCGAAACTACTTAGTAGAAGTCTGAAATGCGACTATGAATAGAGGTAAATTTTAAGTTGGTACTTAAATTTAGGTTGCAACTTTCTTAGTTTCGACTTAGTTGCTGGACTATGAATACGCGCCAATGTCTTCTTTTTCAGTGTTTTTGTTGCACGGTCAACCGCTTTTCTACCTCCAAGTTTGACCAAGTGAGCCACATTGACCGGTGCAAATTTTATGGAGAAAATTTTGCGGTCATCGTCCACCTCGCAATTGCCGGAAAGAGTTAAAAAACTTTTATTCAAATGCCGAATGCATTTCCGCATTAAGGATTTAAATAAATCCTCAAATAACTGAGGTGTGTAACCAACAACATTTAGAACCCTTAATTATGAAATATTATTTTTAATTAGATCTACTCAAAACGATGGAACATTTTTATTTCGTTTAGCTGAATTCCTTTTTACAAGCTTTTATTTAACTTGCTCATCCCGCGGAAAAATCTAATCGATTTTATTTGTTCCTTGGAAGAAACAAGAATCTCCAAAAAAGTTAGCATTGAGTTAGTTCTCGAAATTAATAAAGGTACAAAAATACTTTAAATTTCGGGCCAAAATTTTCCCCCATTTTCTACTACATTTTAAGGTTTGCTGGAATATGCGTACCGAAAAAGTGAGATTAATTTACTGACAACACCTTGTATTATTACACCATGGTGGAGACCATGAAGTGCACAATTACCACAACTCCTTCTCAAAGTGTTTTTGCTGTCGGTCCGAACAAGGTATAAAACTGACATCGATAGTATTCATAAACTATCGATAGTGGCTACAATTTTCAACTATCGATACTATCGATATTATCCCGTTTATAGCATCAAAAATTCCGGCGTTATGCTTATTTACAGAAGTCTTTAAACATTTTTAAATTGGTGTACATATATATAATCTGCCAGAAATGACACATATTACGGCCCGGGTATTTGCAGCAATGCAAAATTTGGACATTTCTGCTCTTTCTACTTATCCACCACACGAAATTCGACCGGTCCTGCCTTCTCTAGTAAGAATGAGTCTATTATCCCCGCTTGATAACACGGAATCATCGATGGAATCTCGCAAACAAATTTTGGCGGTACTAATAGGGATAGAAGTCGTAAACAGCATAGTTTCGTACTTGCAAGTCAACTACCATGAGCTGGAGCAGGAATTGAAAAAGGAATTGCAGGTTCGCCAAAAGTCAATGTATTTCGAGGGACAGCAACCTGAATTTGGTTTGCAGACTGGTATAGCTCTGGGTTTCGAACGAGCCGACGTTACTCGAAAAGTGCGTGTTGTCTTGTCAGAAATTTTCAATATACAATGGCAATTATCGGACCAAAAAAACTTTTTGCAATCTGAGATTTTGGATGATGGAATATATTTAGAAGAAGTTGTCGATATTTTATGCATAGCCTTAGCGGAACTTCCATCACTGCTAAATATTTTGGAATTATCAGATGCGTTGGTGCACGTACAAAATGGACAGAGGGTTATATGTGCATTAGTTGCAAATTTTCCTGATTGCTACAGAGATGTTGTAACTCACATTATATTCAATTGTGATGAAGACAGTAATGAAGGAAAGTTAAAGCTCTCGTTATTAATGGCGCTAAATGAAATGAATCCATCTCAAGCATTACACACCAGATCTACATGTGTTGATATTTTGAAAGTTCCATCATTTATGTTAAAGCTCTGTTTGAAGTTTCCCGAAGACTTGGTAAGTAAAAAATTGTTATTTTTTTGATTTTTTAAACTTTAATTTGTACATACGTTTAAGATAAGGGTCTCTATCAAATCAGACTCGAAGGCGTGGTGAAATTTCACCATGACTCAAAGGTATGTACATATCGCTAGCTTAAAGTGAAATGAAAGGAGAATTTGGGTACTGTTTAGTTAGTGGCCCAAGGATTTCGGGCTATTGCGTAAAAGGGGTGACCCGATCCAAAAATAATTTCCACACACTTGTAGTTAAGGGTCCACACATTATTTTGACACCTACTCTTATTATTTTCCTCCCCTAAAGGTATTGGCCCAATGCGGGCTTGCTTTGCTTGCCTCGCTTTGAGAACTGTCAAAAGTTATTTGGAATATACTAAAATGCATGAAAGCTGGCCAAATGGCAGCTTTGCTTCACTTGCTTTAAGGGCCTCAAAGTTTCAAATAGGCAAATGTTTTATTTGAAAGCGTTTTGTAGGCTTTTGACATAAAGGTATGTTCCCGTTCTAAATAAATTCAAACTGCTGCACCCTTTTATGAACAAACATTTGCTTACGTAATTAAAAAATATAAAAAATATATATATAATATAAGTAATTCAAAGTTTAAAAAAAATGATCATATGTTTCCATTGGGGTGTTCACAGTTCGTTCCAAATAGTGTCTCAAAATGTAGACGTCTACATTTTAAGACGTTTTCTAACCGTAAAATCTGTGGTGTTTTTGTTTCCCATACAAAATTGGAAAACGACGCCGTCTACATTTTGTCACACTCAAAGGTATGTTTTTTACGCGTCTATATTTTGCAACCTCGTAGCAGGGTTGCATTATGGCAATACTAATCACATTTTTTTTATTTATTGGGCACGTTTTCTGTATTTGCATGTAATTTGAGCGCAATTTCTGATGAAAAGAAACAAATCAAGGAAAAGAAATAACAAATATTCCGAATTGGTAATTAAGATAAATAATTACAATTTTTCAGAAACAAAATCGAAAGGCGACATATAAAAAATGCACGCAAGGAAGAAATGTCTGGCAACACCAGCAAAGTTTTGAGACGATTTTGCGACGACTGCTAGAAAGGGGTGCTCACAGTTTGATGCTAAAGATGTCTCAAAATGTAGACGTCTACATTTTCAGACACAATTTGGAACGAACTGTGAACACCCCACATATTTATATTTAACATATCGCTGGCCGAAAAGTTGCTAAGTCCGTTTTTACAAATTTTACAGGAACTTTGAATACGACATTTTGCGTGTTTAAAGCAAAGCAAAACTCCATACGAATCAAAAGGATTCGATCTTTATTAAAAGATTTCATATTATTTTGGCCTTATCGTATTTTGGGGGCCTCTTCTGGACTTAGAAAATTTGCCTTTAATTGAATATAAACGAGAAAAAATAAAACAAGTACCTTAATCCTTAATTTCTCTTGCTTCCTATATCATGAGGTTTCACAAATTGTGGACTTAGCAACTTTTCACACAAAGCTAGCGATATTTTGATGTCAAACTACTGGTCATTCGTCTCTCGAAAAATTGTTTTTTTTATTGTTTTTAATAAATGTACCTATAGTTATATATGTATAATTATTATCATTCCTTTGAAATGCAAAAACTAATTCGCATCAATTTAAAAATAAATCTGAAAAGATTGTTTGTATTTTTTTAAGTTTTCTGGAATTTTGTGGGAAAATTATTCTATGTGTAAGGGAACAGACCTTAATTTTTTAACTACACAGCTGGTAGCTTTGACAGCGTTCCAAGCCGCCATTTGGCCAAACGAGTTTTTGAAGTAAATCAAAGCAAATTGCACAGCAAGCCTTCATTGGGCCAGCGCCTTAATTTATTTAGAAATTGTGTTTGAAATATGCACTTTTTTGTAAAATTCAGAAATTACCGTACATTAATCACTCCTATTCTCCTTAAAGTAGCCACTTCACTTTTATATTCGCTTTAACTTTACACTTTAATCTATTTAATTATAACTTCTCTTATTCCTTTAATTTCAACCAACTGATCACAATTTATTAAATAAAAACCCCTTGAAAATCATGCTTTTACCTTTGGTTGCATATGCAAATTAAATGCCGGAGTTCAGCTGTCAGCTGTCAAACTCCAAAATATGAAAGAAAGATGAGAGACAAGAAAAAATAAGGAACACATTAAGATAACCAACCGTTTAGCTATGGGAAAATTAAAATTGCAGACCGATAGTACTTTTTACCCTGATTTCAACTATAAAAATATTATTTTATTTATTTATTGACAGTCTTTAAGACCTATAACAAATCTTGTCAATTACATTATTAACTTATTTAATTTAATTGATTGCTCTTCTACTAATACTATACATTAACATTTTCATATTTACTAATTTTTACTTATTTTCAAATACATACATACTTTATACATTTATACATATTAATTTATTGTCAGTTAATTAACTATTATACGTATATTTTAGCCTCGGGTTGGGTAGCTGGCGAGGCCTAGTCTCCAGTCTATGTTGTTGTTGTTGTTGTAGCGGCACTACTAAGCCCCGCCTGTTTCGGGCCAACTTTTAATCATTATCGTCAAGCTCAACTAACGGTAGGCCCAGGAAACGAGCTGTTTCGATGGGGTCGGACCAAAGGGAGAGGGGTGTTAGTTGAGTCGGATTGAGCTGGCATGTGAAGAGCTGGTTGGTGTCGTGGGGGGAGTCTCCACATGCCGGGCACTCATTTGGGATGTTTGGGTCGAGTCTGGACAGGTAGCTGTTTAGGCGGCTACAATATCCAGACCGTAACTGAGCCAGGGTAACGCGGGTCTCTCTAGGTAGTTGAAGCTTCGTCTCTTCCACAGGTGGTGATTGGGCTCCGATAACGACATTCCTAGGCCGGGAGTTGAGGTAGGTGGAGACTGTCTCCCTATGAATGTCGTTAATCGCTTGTCTGTACGTCATTGGGACCAGTGGTTGGTCTGTGTGGGTCTGGACTGCGTCCTTGTACACGAATAGGTGCCCACTGACGTGCCTGGGCGGAGGCTCCTCCTCCAGCAGTGGTCTGTTGGGGTGTTCGCTTCTGTGACACCCCACCAGAAACTGCTTACAGAGCATTTTGTTGTGTTCCCTTACGGGGAGCACTTGGGCCTCGCTGTGTAGGTGGTGCTCAGGCGTCATCAGAAGGCACCCAGTCGCTGTCCGGAGTGCGGCGTTCTGACAAGTCTGTAGCTTCGTCCACTGCGTCCAACTAGTCCCCGGCGACCAAACTGGCGCTGCATAATTTAGAACCGGCCGGCCAATTGCCTTGTATGTTGCCAGCAACGTTTCTTTGTCTTTGCCCCAAGTGCTGCCGGCGAGCGACTTGAGGACCTTGTTGCGGCTCTGTACTTTGTTGACAACTGCGGTTGTGTGCGCGGAGAAGGAGAGCAGGCTATCAAAGGTAACCCCTAAAATTTTTGGGTTGTTCACCGTCGGTATAGGTGTGCCGTCGACGTGAATGCCTAATTCTAGCCTGACCTCCTTCGTCCAGGTGGTGAAGAGGGTCGCCGTTGATTTCGTTGGGGAGAGGGTTAGGCTCCTTGCAGTGAAGAAGCGAGAAAG